CCACTGTGTATATACTACAATCACTTCATATTCTATTATACACTTTTTCACTCTGTAGGTGGGGCCATTATGCTGGTTGTTTATGAGCAAGTACTACATTATCTAGAAAGTTTATAGCTACACCCACAATTAACCATCTCATTGGTCAGTGTAATTCATGCACGCCTATTGTATTATATCAGTTCAAAACTATCATGAAAGTACATTTTATTTGCCAACACAAATTTATACGTAGTATGATGTGGATGTGTAAGGTATAGGTGCTGCAGGATAGTGATGGCCAGAACCTCAATGACAAGCTACTGGACCAGAGTGTTAGCCACGGTGTTAGTGAGGTGAGAGGGAGAGGGTTCCAGTGGTAGAGATTTGAGGTCCATGTAGCCAGCCAGCTCCTCCAGTCGTCTTGAGATGTCTCCACTCAGTGCCACAAATTTAGGTCTCAGGTTAGGGTCCTCTCTCCAACACTTCATCATTACACTGTTGTACCTGCACGCAGCAAACAATAGATTGGCATTCGGCAGGTGAACAAATACTGTATCACTAGTATTAGCAGAACGTAAACAGTCAAGAATGATTCAGTAAAAAGTTTAGATAGACCTAGCAACTATGATAATATGCGGCAGAAAAACTGGCTGCCTGTCATAGCATGATCCAAAGCAGCTTACTTAGGTATGGGTCTTCCTCCGTTTGAGTAGCCACTGCCTCGTACAGAGAGATTTTCAGTTATGATGTACTACTCCACCTCTTGCAGGTGGTTTGATTGAGCTCGACTGGACAGCAACTAGAATGTAGTTGTCCTTACACATCAGGTAGAGCAAGCTGCGTTGGAAGGTTTCTCCAGTCTGTCTCCCCTCTCGTCCAGGTACTTTATGAGAGTGAAGGGGTCGACCCCAGGATAAGGGATTTCCCCAGGGAAATTACCTCCCAGCACGTTACACCAAAAGACCACTGCACAGGAAGAATAGTTCAGTTCAAACATAATTGGTCATACACAGATAGAATTGTTAAAATGTGTGATGTGCATAAGCTACCACATCAGTTTTCTCTGAGAATATGCCGTCGTTCAAACTTTCAAGCGCCATCCACTTGACAGGCATTCACGGGAGTCTCCCCTTCCTCGGCTCCCCTCCCCTGGTCTGAAGTAGTTCCTGGCATAGATGTCCTCTGATAGACCAAAGTCAGCCACCTTGATCACAAACTCTCATCAATCCTACATCACAGACAGGTTGAGAAGTGTCGTAAAAGAATGTTGAAGGAACGGAATAAAGCCATCCGACATAGATGTAGGATCCATACAAATTGGTTTTTGTTCGCAAGTGAGGTAAAGTATTGTGAACATAAAAGCCAGTGTGCTGTTTTACAAACAGCATAAGGTGCATATATAGCTACATGTGTGGTGTGCTGCAGGTAGCTTACATGCAGTTCCTAGCTGCGAGGTCTCGATGAACAAACTTCTGACTGGCCAGGTACTCCATTCCCTTAGCAATCTGGAGACACATCGACAGCAACTTTCTACCAGTGGACTGCACCTAAAAGATCAATATGCCAGGCACAATGATTATAAACTAATTGCCAATGCTTACGTAGCTGTAACTGTATTTGTTGACATGCTTGCGGAAAAACACAAACACTTAAATTGTTTTTTTTAGTGGAACTCTCACTCCTTACATCAAGCATGGAGATGAAAATACCAAGTTGCTCAGTGCCTAGTGGAATATTTATGTACACTGGTTTGAGTCCCGTGCCTGAGTTAACTTTTCTGCAGGAGCTGGTATATCCACATTTACTGCCTGATAAACATTATGCCACTTCTAAACATTTTAGGCAACCCTGCACCCTTCAACAAAAGAAAAGGTTGACAGTCTGTAATCTTCCCCAAAAATATTTATAATAATTATAACTATCCCTGAAATTAACACTTCAATAATCTTCTCTTTAGAAAAGATAATAGGTGATCCTCTGGTTTTCCGTCTCACCAGGTCATCGTCCTCCTCACGGTCAAGTGTAAGCTCGGTTCTGTGGTTCCTCAGGTAAGAGAGGAGACTCCCGTGGGTCATGAAGGGCATCACTATGTAGAGAGTGTGTTGTTCTCAATGGAGACTCCGATGAGCTTCATGACGTTGCGGTGGTCAACCGAGACATCAGGAGACTCTCCTCCACCAGAGCATCCAATTCACTCCGACTGAGAAAACCTAAAGTTTTTATACATATCTTGTTACTTACAGGGAAAAAGTGGGCATTGAGCTGTACATTGTACCCAGTTGAATATAGAGTGTAAGACATGTTCTCACCCCCCTTGATAGCCTTGATAGCCCCCATTTCACAAAGAAAACAGCATAAGGAAAGACAGCATTGCAACAAGTAATGAGAAACATATTTTTCACAATTAATTGAAACGTCAACACTCAAACCTTTTAGTGTCTTAACAGCCACCATCTCTCCAGTTTTCCCTTTCCACCCACAAAGGAAAGCACGACACACGACCCAAACTCTCCTATATAGTAAAGAACAAGAGTAGTGACAATAATCCAAACTATATATAATATATTGCATTCAACCAATACACTTTTGACTCTTTTTGGGCGAAATGTGTTTCTTTCATGACTAAAATGGCAGATTTGCAGGCAGGGAAACACAACTGACAATATATACAACGATTCAAAGGCAAACATATTTGCACAAACAAGCAGTTTTCTTTGAAGTAAGTAAATCATTCTCTATGCCAGCACCCATCCTCTCATAAGCTCTGTGTAAGGAGTATATAGGCTAAGAAATATCGTTAACCTTGGCCAATGGTCCCCATCATCTGAACGTTACTGCCTGGAATGAGAAGTTGGTCATCGGCCATTTGCCTGACATATGCTGAGGCAACTCTTGGCTTAGCACCATGGAGCATATCTGCTGATATACCTATGGTAATAATAATAATAATAACCATTTTGGTGATAACACTTAATGTAATTGTGTAATAAAACCCCAAGTAAAGTTATCAAAGCAGAAAGTGACTATAGTGAGCTCACTGTGCTCAATGTAGCGGTGGACTGTAGTGTCCCTACCCATCACTCTGTATAGAGAGAGAAGAACAATCCCAAATGAAAAACTAATTATGTTTCACCTTCCACGTGGTACAGGATTGGATATGATTGAGTTCATGTTTTTGTCTGCGTCTTCTGAGATACAGCACGGCAAACACCACTGCAGAGATACCTACTGCCCCTGCCACGAGAAACACCACCACACCTGCCACACTGGAGTGCACCATCCCAGGATTACTGGCAGAACCCACATTAGCCTCCAGTCGAGTAACAGCTGAAAGACACGTGAAACCGTACACAAGGTGCAATGTAATATAGACCATAGAGAAAGGTGAGACACAATAACACCATTCAAAGCCTCACTATACTAACCTATAGTGCAGTCAATAATGGCTTCTGGTGACTCACAAGCATTGACTCCAGCCTTTGAGCAGCAGTACGGGCAGTGGGCTCAGGTACTGTCCTGTATCCTCACAGTCTATGAACAGAAATCCGTCCACCTCCAGAATTATCCTGTTCTGTTTCGAAAGTCTCCACGACGCGATCCCACTCTGTGGGGACAGAGATCTCGCAGCTGGTGGCACGTGTTGCCGCAGACAGATGTGGGGGGCTGAAAGTGTGTCGAGTTCCACAGGGAGGAGGTAAAAGTGGCAAATGACTCTCCTTGCAGTCTCGTAGCAGCTCTCCAGGGAAGCTAGTAACTGAGGTCCAAACCTTGACAATGTTTCGCATAAACATTGAGAACTCCCGCCAATTCTCTCGTAGGGAATGTACACGTAGTCCACTCCTGACTCGTAAAAGTCGTCGCAAGGGTTGGCATCTCTCGGGCATTGTAGGGCACACAGTTACCGTACCTGCAAATAAACAGTACCCAATTAACACCCAAGTAACACAATGGAGCATATTTCCCATTGCCACACTTTATTCCATGACTATGCTCATAATTGGTCTATCAAAGAGGAACTTCTACAGTGTTACTGCACATCCCATGTCTTTCCCACACACCTTTGCAAGCAGCTCCTCGAAAACTGTACAGCGCTGCAGTCTTCCCCAGCACCATTACTGGAGACATCATCATGAACTGGGCAAACCTCATCAGGATCTGAAAAGTATGAACAGACCAGCAGTACAAATACATTCTTGGAAGGATAAAAGCAAAACTTTGAACCAAGTCCCTTACCACCACAACGGTTTTCCCAACTGTCATATAAAGCCTTAGAGTGTAGACTTCAGTAAGAGAGATTATGGGAGGCTATGGGCATCTGATTTGGACATATCCAGCTAAGAACAAGAAGTTGTTTTTCCCCCTAAATTATATATAGCTATTGTCACTCAAGAAGTATTATCGGGAGCTCACTTGGGTCACAGAATACACCGGCATCATGGGAGTGGTCCAGTGGGCAGTCGTTGACACCGATGCCATTGTGTGTGCAGTCCTCCAGCCTCTTCTCGTCTCCAGCACAGGCTGAATTGTCAATGAGTGTCCTCCCACCACCTCCACCAAACCCGGGCAGAGCATGTGCAGCTGTAAGTGAGACTTTTCATGACCCAACAAATTACAGTAACCCATTTACAAATAGAGATACCTCCGAACAAGTAATACCTTAGGTACATTGACAGTGTAAGACATCCCTTATTCGGCAGTTTATGTATAGCTGTGACAGAATCAAGTTTTCTTCATAGAAGAAGTGTCCTCTATTCAGAAGGTCCCTTTTTCGGAGGGGTCACTGTGAATATTGGCTATAACTGGCCAATAAAGGATCTGGCATGCAGATACACATCTAACCATATCTCGAGCTTCTGTAAGCACAAATTATAGAGGCTGTTATTACCCTTAGTTGGTAGTCCCAGCTGTCTGCACACGACCCTGGCATCATTGTCGTCCCAGTCATGATCACAGACTGTGCCCCACTCCCCTGCATGACAGAACTCCACTCTACCACCAGCTCCTCCATCAAACTCTTCCACTAGTTGAACCTCTCCATCGACACACCCAGCTAGTCCACCACTCCCACTCTCTCCTGTAGCTACACCAGTAGAGTGGGGAGAAAGTTATTTTAGTTAAATTAGCCCTTACGAAGTTGGCCAATCGCAAGTTATTTTCGTTAAAAATGGCTTGCAAAGTTGGCGAGTTGAAACAGTTATAATTATCATAAAGACTGAGAGGTTGGTTTGAATACCTAGCACAAGAACAAAGGACGCAGGAATAGCTCTACACACAATAGCATAGCAAGAATCTTACCACTAAGCATTAGTAGGTGAGTTACTCCAGACAAAACCATCATGAACAATACGGGATACATGGCAAGCCCAAGGTGAAGTTTAAAAGACCACGCTGCATGCAAATTTTTATATACCATATACATATACGCGCAGCGGCGCCATATCTCGCATCTCGTGAGCAAAACCGCGCATGCGTGTCGCGCAGCGGTCTATATATTGCCGTATGGCGTGTAATCGTAGCTCAGCTCAGCTGGAGGGCGCTCGCATACCGCCGTGGGTTTTTAATTAATGCCACCCTCACATAGGGCAGACCTTTTTTGTGCTGGGCGTAGTGTATTTGCCTTACCTCTCGTCGATAGTGACGCACACATAGCTACTCAGTTGAGGGTTAGGTGTCTGAGGCAGTCTGAGAGAGCATTTCCCAACATAACTGACGATCATTTTATTGACTGTCAAACAGTTTCTCTATTACATTGACTGCTGATCTGATCTGTTCTAACCATCAATCACTGCGACTGCATGAATAATAATAGATTATGTTGCATTTTTTTTCACGTGTTTAGTTTTTACCTGCAGTGAATATAATATGTAACCTGAACATCTCATCTGGTTGGGGTCCTCTCATACTATACTAGCTTTACATGAGGGGTTTACAGCCGAAAAACTGTCTACCTCTGAATTGCCTGTGACAAAATGGGATTTGCACAGTCTATTCCCAGTCACTCCAGTAAGGTACTTACACAATGCATAGTTCATAGTGGCTACGTTTTCCCATGCACTCAGTAAAGTATATACTTAGCGATAGTTCTAGTGTGCTACTGTCTATTCCCAGTGACTCCAGTAAGGTACTTACACAAATGCGATAGTTCATAGTGTACTACTGTCTATCCAGTGCACCCAGTAAGGTATTAGCACAAATGCGATAGTTCATAGTGTGCTACTGTCTATTCCCAGTGACTCATAAAGTATATACTTAGCGATAGTTCATAGTTCTACTGTCTTTCCCAGTGCACGCCAGTAGTATATACTTATGCGATAGTTCATAGTGTGACTACTGTCTATTCCAGTGCACTCCAAAAAGTATATACTTATGCGATAGTTTCATAGTGTGCTACTGTCTATCCAGTGCACTCCGAGCTATGCTAGCTGTACTATTCCAGTGCACTCCAGTAAGTATCACTGATGCGATTGTTCATAGTGTGCTACTGTCTATTCCCTGTGCGACTCCAGTAAGGTATATACTTATGCGATAGTTTTCATATGTGTGCTACTGTCTATTCCCATGCACTCCAGTAAGGTCTTACACAAATGCGATAGTTCATATGTTACTACTGTCTATTCCCAGTGCACTCCAGTAAGGTATATACTTATGCGATAGTTCATAGTGTGCTACTGTCTATTCCCAGTGCACTCCAGTAAGTATATACTTATGCGATAGTTCCTGTCTATTCCCAGTGCACTCCATAAGGTTACTTACACAAATGCGATAGTTCATAGGACTACTGTCTATTCCCAGTGCACTCCAGTAAGGTATATACTTATGCGATAGTTCATAGTGTGCTACTGTCTATATCACTCCCAGTGCACGTATCCACTAAGGTATAATACACTTACACAAAGTGCAAGTAGTTCATTAGTGTCCTTAGCTACATACTGTGTCATGTTATAAACATAGCTGCGTGGTGTGCTTACGATATGTAGCTACACACAGTATCCTACCATCAGGTATATAGTGATCATTGACGTTTTGCAAAGATGCTTTACCCCTTGACTGTCTCTAAAGAACACTTCACCGAAGGTGATGGTGAGCTAGCTCGCTGTTCCCACAAAAAGACACATGAATCACTAAGTGCATGAAGATTATCTCTCTGCATTTTGCATGTTTTTTAGCTTCTACATGTTATATAGAGTCACGTGTTTAGCTTATACATATTAAGTCTATTCCACTGATACTGTTCATGGCACAGTGGTTTGAGGTTTTCCATTGTGTTGTACTTTATGAAGATTTGAACCCCTACAACTGATTGCCTTGGGTGCCTCGCCTAAACTTCAGAGTGTCATGGGTTCGAATCTCACCCAGGGCAGCTCTCTTCTTTTTCTTTGAAAAGAAAGAGCTGTCCTGGGTGTAGTTGACTTGTTTGCCTTGCCTTTCCTTTCTACCTCTCTAACGCGCTCGGCATTTAGCCTCATAACTAGGATTGCGCACGCGCCTCGCGCCAATGTCCGACTGAGGCAGCTCGTGCGCGCGCTCTACTGACTGCGCGCGAACCGCGAAGCGAGATCTTCCTACAGCGACTTCCTACGCATCTGCAGTAGCTAGACTCCTACGCATGACGGAAGTACACTTCTTTTGGTGACTAATTGACATTCCTAAGCGTGACTAATTGACGGCGTTTCGTACTGACGTACGCCCGACTAACGCTAACGCGCTCGGCAATAAGCACTTCCTGACTAAAGGACAGTCCCTACTTCAGAGGTTTCAATCAAGTCTGTGGCACACAGGAGAAGATTGATGCCTCAAGTGCTGGGGGCTGAGTGAGCCGTACCAGCTGTTCATTGACAATCCTGACCATCAGGTGAGCACCACTGTAAGATAGCCGGAAATATTTCTAGTGTCAGAACCACGTCTTTTCAACTTTTGACTTGCATTGAATGGGTCACACGTACCATTTGGACATTTTATGGACCATTGTGTAAATACGAGTGAAAATTCCTCACGTCACGTTTAAGATAGCTACTATGCTGCGTATTGTCTGAACTGGTGCTGTACCTTTGCCTTGCGGTATTGTTTAGTGTCGTCAGGCACGGCATGATAGTCAGTGCTCATGTTCTTGCAATATACAAATTGTCTAAATACTCGCCCTGTGATTTGATTGCGTCACAGGCTCGCCGCTAGGCCGAGTCTCTGAGAATGCAGTCTGGACAAACCAGTTTGACAAACACTGCTAAACAGGAGAGCTCACATTGAGACCACCGGCCCGAGATTGGGAGCAGACTGGTGTGTGTGTGTGTGTGTGTGGTGTGTGCACAACTATCTCACTTATGGTTGCATTATAATGCTAGGTATATGCATGAATCACAAGCGGAGGAGCAAGTTAGCAAATCAGCTGGTTTACTGCAAAAGTCTGTCTCCTATAATACTCCAGGTGGTCGTGTGAGTGCAGTCACATCAGTTCTGGCACGGGAGGCACTCTGGCAGGTAGGGAACACTGCACATCTCTGTGATTGCATTCACTACGCACTGCTGGGAAATGCCTGTTCTTTACTATAGTTTGGTGCAATAATAATAATGATAATGCAGGGGCGTATAGAAATGAGGGGGTGAAAAAGCGTGCATGCAGGAAAAATTTATACCGGAATCCCCTGCACGTAATTTACACAGGAAGCCGGAAAGTAAAAATAGGCCGGTGCGCGGCGCTTTTCCAGTTTGCATAATTAAGGGTTACTGTAGTGTCTTGTGTGTTGTCTGTCTGTGTGTGTATCTGTTACCGTTCTAGCTGCTTCAGCGTCCGTTTATATCCGCAAGCAACGATACACACAGTTCTCGGGGCTTTCTGGATTGGATTTTCGACAAAACCTTCCGTTCCAAAGTTATGCCGTGAAAAGGCCAATATGCAAATAAGTTACAGGTCACCGTGAGCCGTTTGTGCACACTTTCGGGACCAACGAAACGCAGCAGCTACTCGAATGACAACTGGTCGGTGGAATGTTGCTTCAGACGCTAGCAAGCGGCCAAAGACAAGCTATGCTAGATGAGCCACCGACCGGTGGGTCGAAGCAAGACGGCCTGCGTGTAAGCGCCCGCTCAATGTAAGCGCCAACGCATGCATTGTTCGCCGAGGGTTTGCACTTTAGTGCTTTTCATATTACTTGCGCAGTTAATATAAAGTATATACACAATATACTGTTACACCATAACAAGCCTTTTTGTTCGATAATATTATATATGTGAATGTATCAAAGGCACGACAGTCATACTTTAGACAGTTGCCACACGTTGGAGAGTGCCTGGGGAATTATCTAGCCACCCCACGGGTACAATGTAGCTGAGTCTTCTGATTTGTGTAGCAGTTCGAGTGAGTGTCTTGCTACAAAACGCGCCTTGTTCATTACCTTCTCTCAACCGCAACACGTCTTCAATAGTTTCTAGCACGCTGCTGTAACTAATAAGTATGTATGTATCACTGCGTCAAGGTCCAGGTGTCGGGGAGTATCTGAAGACTATGAATCCAGATGTCCAAGTAGTACTGGCTGATCCCCAGGTATAAATATCATAGTACATTTTCGCCCTCATTTGTTAGATTAACATTCCCTATCATACCATCTTGTATCAGTTTTGTTGCTATGTATATTTTATGGTCTATTGAGCACAACCTTCAATAGCATCCACAGAAACAATCCACTAATACGGTTATGTAGTATAGAGCATTCAAACTGTTTGGATACTGTATGCACCTAGTAGTAAGCTCTACTACACACCCTCACACACAAGACATCAAGCGATCAATGAATACGATTAGTGTGTCTCGCCTCTTCTACTGCATAGGACTACACCATTGTCATAAGTCATATCGCGGAGTTTGGCTACTTTCCTTGACAGCGCCTCGTCCCTGCTCTCTTGTAAGAATTGATTATCTTTCAGGTATGTAGCATGACCTAATCTGCAGCTGGGGTTGGTCGTAGGCATACTCAGAGCTACGCATGCCAGTTCGAGGGGCGTTTATAGTACTTAGCTAAAGTAACCTATCAATTATCGGACGGCCGTGGAGACGTAATGGAAAGTGTTGTAGTTTTGCTACATCTGTTTGTAGCCATATACCTAAGCTAATACTATCTATAAAACCAAGGTGCTGCCTCGAAGCATCCGGCCGGCCGTGACACCCGCTAAAACAACGGTGTCCGATGGTCCCGACCATCGGACGATATACCAAATATCGGACACTGCGCTTGCGTTCGAGAAGGCAGCAGCTAATCGAGTCAAATCATGGCCAGCAACTAGGCCTACATTCCTTCTACCTAACGTGTAAATACGAGCTTCGTTAGCTTTTCCGTGACTTCAGGGCAGGAGTAATTTTTGGCGCAAAAACATCCTCCAATTATCGGACAGGTCCCTGGCGCTTCGCGGGTGTGAATTTTGCTACGAATGTGCTGAACGATTATAAACTAGCTGTCTTTCAACGTTAGAAGAGTCGATTCGTGTATAGTACATGTTTTCACCCAGTGCCGTGTTCTTCTCGCAAGACAACGCCCCCGCAATACTTCGGGATAGTAAGCCAGCTGTAGACAGTGGAACTCAACAACTCAAACCTTCGAATGAAAAGCAACCAGCAACAGCTGACTCATTGGTAGCTAAGAAATTGATATATGAACAATGGTGAAATCCATGGCAAATTTTGCAAACCCACTGAACTTCGTGAGTTAAAAAGAGAAGACTTCATCTTGTATGTCCATGATACCATTCATAGCACTGTGCCCAATTAAAGCGATCACTGTGCGGCATTCGGCATAAACAGTGCAGCTCAACCTTGGTCAGGTTTTAACGAAGTTCAGTGGGTTTTCAACATTTGCCATGGATTTCTCCATCGGACACCGTAGTTTTAGCGGGTGTCACGGGCGGATGCTTCGAGGCAGCACCTTGGTTTTTTAGATGGTATTAGCTTGGGTATAATATGGCTACAAACAGATGTAACAAAAAGTAATACAACACTTTCCATTACGTCTCCACGGCCGTCCTATAATGTGAGGGTGCCGATAATTGATAGGTTACTCTGCTGCCCACTCTAGTTTTTACAGTATAGCTACTTAAAGTTATGGCGTGAAAACCAAGTGATCAAGCCAATATGTAAATTAGCACAGGCTTACCGCGACCGTGTCTTGAAGGCACAACAAGTCACAACGAAGGGCATGCATCGACACATGCTATTTACTACTGTAGCTAGCCCGTTCCAGACTCTCCGCGAGCTACTAGCGGGATACCACGAGTAAAGGCATAAAAAACCCAGCCCATCAATTAGTGGTACCGCACATGCGCAGTTCGCCGAGGGTTTGCACTTTAGTGCTTTTCATATTATACTAGCTTTACATGAGGGGCCTTTGAAAAGCTGACAAACTATCTGCCTGTAATTGCCTGTGACAAATTTGGATTTGCAGTCTATTCCCAGTGCACTCCAGTAAGGCATTTACACAAATGTCATAGTGTGCATAACTACATACCTGTGTCATGTTGGGCGTGGTGTGCTTACGATATGTACACACAGTATGTGAGAAGAGCATAGTATTAGTTGTTTGGCATCCTAACATAAGTAGTGATCATTGACTGGCAAAAAGAGTCTCTACCTGTTGACTCTCTCTGAAGAACAACTTCACAGAAGGTGATTGAGCTAGCTACAGCTGTTCCCACAAAAAGACACATGAATCACTGAGTGCATGAAGATTATCTCTGCATTTTTGCATGTTTTTTTAGCTTCTACATGTTATATAGAGTCACGTGTTTAGCTTATACATGTTATAGTCTATTCAACCTGATACTGTTTCATGGCACAGTGGTTTGAGGTTTTCCATTGTGTTGTACTTTGTTGAAGATTTGAACCCCTACCAACTGAGTGGCCCTGGTAGCTCAGTTTGTAGAGTGCTCGCCTAAACTGCAGAGTGTCATGAGTTCGAATCCCACCGTGGTACACCCTTGATCGCGAAGTTTAGCTACTTTCCTTGACAGCGCCTTGTCCCTGCTCTCTTGTAAGAATTGAATTTATCAAGCATGTAGCTAGCATGAGCTAATCTGCAGCTGGGGGTTGGTCGTAGGCATACGCAGAGCTACGCATGCCAGCTCGAGGGGCGTTTAGTACTTAGCTACTGCCCACTCTAGTTCTTGCAGTATACTTAATGTTTGGAGTTATCATTACTGACCGATTACTGTACTGTGGCAGTATTATACTCCTGTCTGCCGAACTCCTCCGCACACCATAGCTTTTTCGGGGGCATTGAAGCATACTAGCGGACATTTAGTTGGGGCAAGGCGCCGAAGCGCTCTGCGCAAACTGATTGGACCGCAATGCTTCATCACGTTTGCTCATCCAACGAAAAAATCGCAGCCAGTATACATAGGTCTCAATTGTCCCGATTTAGGCGGGACTGTCCCGCTAATAGTCTCTTTGTCCCGCTGTCCCGCCTACCAACGCGCCTTCAGCTTCAGTGCTTTTGACTGACGCATGCGCAGGCGGGCTTTATTGCATTATCGACACATGTATATACACACGCCCTTTCCAGTCTGTGATCGTGATGGAACAGCGCGGTGACTTACCACAGGAGCTGGAGGATATTCCTAGACCACCCAAGAAAGCCAAGCGTGAATGTAAGTATCAGAGTGAATGGTGTAATAGCGGCGTTTTGCCGAGCAAGAAAGGGCCTGCATTCGCGTTGTGTGAATCGTGTGGAGTCGATATAAACGTCGGGCACGGAGGTTTATACGACGTGAGAAAGCATTTTGCAACCTCGAAGCATCAACAAATGCTTAAAGCAACGAGCAGCACTATGAGTTTGAAGTCTTTTTTTTAGGTCATCGCCTGTGGAGGAGTCGATAACACGAGCGGAAGTTCTCTGCTAATTTCATTGCGGAACATAATCTACTATTTATGCTCGCCGACCATTTTACTCATCAGAGAACCGTTGCAACCTTAGTAGTACTGCAGTAATGCGTCTTGCTAGGCGTTCTCCACTGCAGTCCCATCAGAACTTTTTGATGTCCTGCAAAGAGGAGGTCCTAGACTACAAGCTCCCTCCTCAGTCAGATATTCCGGATGTAGACAAAGAAGGACATGAGGACCACGAACTGCGTTCTTACTGGCAATTTGTCGGGGAAATGAAAACCTTGTGTGGTAGCTACAACACGATTTCCTACCCTCTCTAAACTCTCCAAGTGCTTGTTGGCATTAATGCTGAAACAGAAAGAGTTTTTAGTATCGTTAGGAAGATTGTAACTGACTACCGCTCACAAATGGACCAATCTACTCAGTGTGCTTTGATATCTTGCAAAATAAATAACGATAGTGTGTGTTTTCAGCTTGATACTCTCACTATTCTTTTGAAGAAGGCAAACTCTGCAACAGTAAAGTATAATTGAGCTCATTCATCTAAATGATGTTTTATTCAGTACTCTGTATTCTAAACATTCTTCCATGTTGTTGTCCCTCTTTTTTAACGAAAATCCCACATTAATTAACAAAATTATCCCTATAGATGTATGAGTATAGCTACCTAACTCAACCAAATAGCGCTGGTTTTTCAAGGGGACTGTTGATGTATCAAAAAAGGGCGTCCTGCAATAGGCACCCGAGAACAATGCGACATTAGTTCGATAAGCCACACCCACTAACGTGCGAACGGTTTAATTGGTATATAGCGATCTTACACTCAGCCTAACAGTGCATGCCCAATGGAATTATAGCTGCGTGAACTCAACTCGTGGATTGTCATGCCCTTTAACGTTTGGCTGGACTACTAACTGCAAGGTGTTTGACATAATATGGACTTCATACCCCAGATAACTCGACAGCCATGGACATTACAATCATGGACTCTTGTTGCTCAAAAGCATCCCCTGCTCCTAAGGTTTGCCCACTAAGAAATGGTAGCTAATGGTACCAATAAAGAGTTCACCTAATTATACTGCAGGGACAGGGTGTAGAGACAGATCAAGACGTACCAACTTCACATGGCACAGAAGCTCAGCAGAGGCCAGCTTCCTCACCTGAAGTAAAACAAATGCTTTCTTAGGTAGATTAACTAACTGCTTCCCATGCTTGATTTTGCATACATAGTTCATAGTTGAAAGTGATTTAAGCGTGCGAGCCTGTCACACCCCCATATTCGCATTTACCTTTTAGGAGGACATTCGACGGTTATAGCTACAGGGCATTTTAGAGGTATAGCACGAGTTATTGTAAGGATGATTGGTGATGAAATATAGCGAATGTGTGACATGCTGCAATCACATAGATATCATTGGATAAACCTGTTAGCTATCATCATTTTCACATATATCATTATTTTGTCAGCTGATGGGTTACTCTTGAATTTGCAGGCTCTACAACAGTTACGGGAGAGTCTTAAACCCAAGTTTGAAAGTGTGGATACAGATGGAGGAATGCCTATTGTGTTTGAACTACCCAATGGAGAAAAGCTCACATACAATACCGATATTATGTCCTGTTCAACCAAGGTATTATATGCAGTGTATAAGCTACATCATAGCATCCATTGACCTTCAATGACAGTGTGGCACAGTTCATAATTTCATTTGATCCACCATACAAAAAAAGGCTAACGTTTTTTGCATAATTATGTATTATAATAGTCAACTTATATGCAATAACAATACTTCATGTTATGCACACATAGTTTAGTGTCACCATAACCATGTGATAGAGTTAACTTTGTTTTTTTATCCTGTAGATGCTCTATGAGTATGTGTTTTATGCTGGTTTGGTTAATCAGCGATTCCGGATCTTTTCTGGTCCTGCACGACGACCAATACCTTGCAACCATAGCAAAATATCTGAAATAAATTTTTTTGAGTCATTTACTTTTCGTTGTGGAGTATGAGGAAGGAGACATTTTGGAATTTTTGCAGGAAACAATTGCATAATGAAAAACTACTGACGTGTGAAGCACATAAGGAACGTGTGTGTCTGACACACGCATTTCACAAGACGAGTGCACAAAAACCACCCACTAATGTTTGTTTGGGAAAAGGATCTAACATGCTAAGCATCCAGTTGAGCGAAAACATGTCATAGTCACAGCGTAAGGTCTTCCTCACTTGCTAGCATGCTCACATCATCCAAAGCTAATCACAGAAGGCTGTAGCTTGGTCTTTCTAGACTTCTTGTGACAATCTCATACCGAGTCACTCTAGATCTGCACTGATACATGGTTGGCAACCTTACTGGAATAGTGGGAAAGCTCCGAAATCATGTACAACTATAGCGCTGTCCCGGTCCCGGCGTAGAGAAAACACCAAAAATATCTGGGAATTGATGCTCACCTCCACCTTACACTTCATTTAATGGCTACTTCAGGCAAAACAATTTGTCTACGTTAGCCTACGGTCTAAACAGGTATTATAGCCAAGCAAGAAATGCACATTCACATTTTTATTATAGTTAGTTTAGTTAGTTTTCCTGGTTTCCCAAGTGAGAGTTTAGCAAATGATAATAAATTCACTTGCTTTAATACTGTACCTTAAGTTTTGGCAGTTTTCAATTCAGTTTGTATAGGGCTAGCCAACCTTTGCTATATATCACCTCTACTGTGGCAGAAAAACTCAGACTCTATGCCTATATAGTAACAGTTATCGTATTATAGCCCAAGAGAGGTCCTTATTCAGAAGTGTTTAGTGTATAACAATGTTGTTCAGAGCTGTTTAGCTGTAATTATCTTAGATTTTAGGCATTAATAAGATATCAACCCCTTACTATTAGCTACCCTGAAAATTTAACCCAAGGTATCACTGCAACAAACCACAACATATACTTGACAAAATTATCTGTGACGCAAGCATTTTCTTCATTATACAATTCCATTGTGCAAACTATAACATTACCGATTGATTTTTCATCCTAGACGGTGGAAGGAATTGAAGTGGGTGGATATTATATTCAAGTGGATACTAGTAGCGGTGGTACTTTGGGATTTACATATGTGTCTGGAAATCAGTGGCGTTACAAAAGAGCAAAAGGTTAGTTGTCACAGTATCTTTGTAATTTTAATCCTGATGCACAATCATTGTCCGGACATACAACTGGAGTGCCTGGTTAGATGGCTTATCTGATTAACTTGATATTTTCATATTGTGTGTTCATGCTCTGCGATAGCCTTACAATCACTTCACAATCTACCAGCAGTTTCTCTTTAAAGCCAACATTGGTCAGTGAGAAACAGTAACTTATAGCCAGCTAGCTCTGTGAGAACTTTAATTGTATCAACTAGTGGCCAGGCAATAATGCAGGTCAGGCATCTGGGCAGAACATTGTAAGCATGCGTGTGGAGCAGACGGTAGCATAGGGTAGCTAATCACCAATTTTGTTTTAAGTGTTTATCAATGGGTTGTTGAGGGAGGTAGAGGAATCTGAGATTGGGATTGATTTAAGTAGTGGCGGGAGACTTGGAGGACTTTGTTTGCAGATGATTTTGTTGGTGTTAGCGAGTCTAAGGATCAGATGCAGATGCTTATAGATGTGGTGCATGCTTACTGTCGGAAATGGAGGCTAAAGGCTAAAGGCTAATGTGAGTAAGAGTGCAGTGATGGTGTTCTCTACGGAGCCAGTGGATGGTGCTTGGAAATGGAGGGAGGGAGCATATTCTTCATATGGGGGATATGGGGATTGATACATTACAAGAGCGTATGGATAAGAATAAGTTGAAGTGATGGTATAAGGTAGCTGCAATGCCAGACAATAGATATTTGAAGAAGCTTTTTAATCAGGAATGGAATTTTAAACCACGAAGAGGCAGGCAGAGGAAGTGCCGGAGTAAGGTCATTGATGATCTCTTTTCATCATTAGGTCTTGATAAGGAAGAGTGGTTGCGTGATATTCAAAACTGTCTATAGTAGGGGACAGTATCAATGAGAGGGAGTTTAAAGAGGGGTTAAATAGCAAAGTAAAGCTGTCGTTGTATAAGACGTTTAACAAGGTGGTAGAATTCAAGAAGTATTTGCATGGGGCAAGTGATGCTGAGTCTAGATTAATGTTTAAGTTCAGGTCAGGCACACATGGGCTAATGAGGAGCTTGGTAGGCATAGGGGAAGGAGGAGAGGAAGGAGTGCCTGATGTGTGATGAAAGTGTGAGTCATGTGTTGTGGGAGTGTCCAGCATATTATAGGAGCAATTTCTTGCCCTGCAGGGGAAGCTTGGGGATGGGTTTGAGCATTTCCAGTCATTCGATAGTTTCAGGAAGGCATCCTTTATTTTGGTAGTGAGCTGTGGGAGGATAAATTTGGTTCTCTGCTTGATCTTTTTAGAGTTTTATTTTAGATGTTTGGGAGCTAAAAAAGGTTAGTTATACGGTGATAATCCAAGCGTTCACAGTCCCAGTCTCAGAATGTGTCTGGCGGAGCTTCAGGGTGTCACTGGTGGAAGGGGTGAGTTGAGGTGTCTGGGAGGTGAGACAGACACCTGTATGAGTGTATGTTCATTTGGTGAGTGTTCATTTGTTAAATGTTCGCCCATTGCCCTGGGTGTGTGGTCGATGGCCCAGTGCTATGGCTGCCACTTGAGTATCATTTTTAGTACGCATGCACAGGAGGGTTTAACTAAACAGCACACTGCTTGTTAGGAGTTTGAGCACATTTGGCTTATGGGGTCCGCCATAATAGTTACCTTGCATTCCAATCCCATGCAAAACAAGAGCACCAACTGTGCATGTCTAAACATGGCCTATGTGGACAACAAATCCAGTTAAATTCCACAACATCAATTGCATGAATAGTGACCCACACTACACATAGTAATTTCTAAAACTGTACGTAATTGCAATACTCTGCATAATATTCTTATTCACCTGTATCTCAAGTTTTTCTTTCGTAATATAGGTGACTGTTTTGATGTTTCAACTCCAAGTAATGGTCAAGGTCAAGTGCAGATAAAGCTGGGGAAAACAATTTTAACAGTTGAAGAAAAGGAAAATAAACTCATGGAACCGCAATTCATGGAGGTAGCTAATACACATATGGGCTGGTCTCACAGGCCTCGCATGGGGAGAGAGGGACTCTCAAGTTTTATTGGCGAGAGAATGCGTGTGTGAAAAATTGCACATTTTCATACTTAGATTTGGGTAAAGAATTTACAAGTTTGTAAGATCCGCCAATACAAATTGAACATAACAATATGGACAGAATCTAATAAACTTTACACGTGTCATTCTAGAGCTGGGATGGTCGACCATGTTTTGGCCAACTGTCGTGCACCTGAACATAGATGACGACATGACAAGTATACTACAGTTTGTGTGACGCTCTACATTGCATGTCTCTTTCTGGCAACAGGTCACAGATACCTAGCCACTCCACTTTAAAAGTAGTTACTGTTAATTCTGTGAATATGCTAGCTGTAGCTCAACAGTTAGCTTGCTCCTGCTAACAAGTGATTGTGCATTTATCTTTCTGCAGAGTATGCGTTCAACAGAAACAATGCCTACCATCAAGAATTTAATTACTGTGGCAGTCCAGATTCATTTTATCTTCATTTGCAGACAAAAGAGGAAGACACCTACTATTTCACTGCAACACGTAATGTAATTAAAATGTCAAAATCCTTTAAAGGTCGGGCAAACTTTTCCCTTTCTAACGGGAGAAAATTCATTGAACATTGAAACTGAGATACTCACTTGTCATTTAGCTACCTACTATAATATTATACAGTATAATTATCATGTTATTATGAGCATTTCTGAAGATTAAACTTCGCAATAGTTTCCCTTACCAAGATTAAGTAATTCATTGCCTTTGAAGTGCAAACTGGATAAACAGTGTCATTCAAAGGAACCGCATGCATAGAATAATGTTCAAGACAAGTGTTGAAAGTCAAGAGCAAGTTCACGTACTCGCGACAATCCAGAACTTAGAAACATACATAATTATATAGCTATGTATTAAAGCAAGGAGACAAGACCGGGAGGACCTATATGAGTGCATATGTGGTGCAGTGGAACACACAGCTCTCTCACTCCCACTTGCCAAAAATTACATTGCCCTTCACTCTTGCCAGCCTCGCCCACCATGCAAATCCCATGAGACAAAATAAATTGCTGCAGATATATAATTGTTTAGCTACTTATATAGCTACATGGTAAGGGTGGTATTAGTAGAACTCATACATATTCCATGAGACGAATCAGTGCAATTCCTTGGCAAAGAATTTCGCTGACCTCAACTAAATGGCAAAACGCAAACATGACAAATAAAAAAACAAAGGTGGTGCACATCACAAGATGGTGTGTGTGTTGTCTTCGGAGTGCGATCCTGTGTTTGTGTGTCCAGTTGGGGTCCTCCAGAGAGAGGGGATGGAGGGTTGAGATGGTGGACGGGAGTTCTCTGCACCCACCACACAGAATGGGGATAAGTAGTCCTGCCCCTCCCATTGACGACTGCTGCAGCACGTGCTTGAGCTCATAGTTGCACCACTCAGTCAGCTGGTAGTCTGGGGCTATGACGGCCACCACTTTATCGGTCAACTGTAGTATGTTCAAGACAAGTGTTCAAGACAAGTGTTGAAAGTCAAGAGCAAGTTCACATACTTTGTTACAATCCAGAACTTAGACACATACATGTCTCCTCCTGGTCAAATATTTATGCAGTTCTGATGGGGATACACTCTTCACGATATTCAGTTCAATGTGCTGGGAGCTCGACCCATATCTCTCAGTCTGGAGATAATGTGGGTGGACCACTACCCTGTGGAGCTTAATCTCTCCCTCAGCAGTGACACTGCCCTCAAGTTCGCCAAGGGTTGTTTGCAGGGTTACAGTAGTCGTTCTGTGTGTCTGTGTGCCTGTCTCTCTGTCTGTCTACGACTATTCTCGCACTACAGGCTACGAGGCGGCTTATGAGCGATACCAACAGCTTTAGCGATATATACATGGGCTAGAAAAAATGGCGATTTTGCTGAAACGACTGCACTGCGTGCGGACAGCGTAAAGTTGCGTGGGTGGCCCAACCCATCAATAAGCGGTGCGCATGCGTGTATTAGACGCGATCAAAATTAATGGCTCACCTCGACCTGATCCGCTTGCTCTGTGTACCTTGGAGGCGCAAGAAGCCACAGCGAAAGGCCTCCCGCATGCTATCTACTACTGTAGCTATCCAGTGTCAGACTCTCCGCAAGCTACTAGCGGGAGACCGCGAGTAAACGCCAATAACCCAGCCCATCCATTAGCGGTACCGCGCATGCGCACTTCGCCGAGGGTTTGCACAACACATGAAGGTGCTGCGAACTGGTCTGTCTTGCTGGAAGAGGAGTGTTGTTTTGTACAGAAAAAGATGTAAAAACATCAAAGTCCCCACTCTGTTTCTAGATAGTTTGAAGCCTGTTCATACACAACAAACATAATTGCACCACCTGGAAAGGCACAAAAAGAGAAATCTCAAGGAATAATCATAGTTAGAGCAATAATCACAAACCTGGCCCAAATCGAATAATCTTTGGTAAAAGACCTTTGTATAAAGCTAAAAACCTGTGAAAAAGTTATGCACTATATTGTTATATACTGATCCGGTATAAAGATCACATTTTTGAAACTACATGGCCAGAATAAATTATAATACCCCATAGCTACTGTGAAATTATTTCATGTATTCAGACTACGGTGGCCCAATTGCAATTTCATCTGTTGATTTTCATTTTCATTTATGTCTGTCGATTTTTGTCCTTCCATTTTCGTATCTCATTTTTGTCCGTCAATTTATAAGGTAAGTTAATGGTGGAGCTTCAGGCAGGCAGTGGGTAAACAGGCCCAGGCGCTATAATAAGGAAGTAGCTGGCAGTGCAGGCGCAGCCGATGCAGCACTTAGCACATGCACAGTCTTATAAAACTGGCACGGGGACAACCCCCTCCTTCTGTTGAAGAATGAGGGAGGGATGGCGGTAAAAGCTAGCTGTGGGTCTTCAATTTTTTCGTCCTTCGATTTTCGTCTGTTGTTTGCAGAAGGCGTGGCCGAATTTAGGCAGAGTGCGCGAGACATCTCAATAATGTCTCAGGTGTTTGACAATCTCTGTCTCTAACTGTGACGCAGCCTACATACCCCGTGCAGGCATTGCCACTGAACTTCGGACTGTTCCATGGTCTATTGTTACTGTGAAAGGAAGTTGGTTTGGTTTAGTTTTGCTGTTTGCTGTTGGTGCTATTAGTTACGCTCCTTCAAACAACGCCTACGGCAATCAACAGACGAAAATCGAAGGACTAAAATTGAAGGACAAATATGAAAACGAAAATCGACAGACTATAATAAATCGACAGGTGAAAAATGCACTACTGGGTCACCGTAGACTCACCCTTCCTCCCTCCAGACGGTGAGGATAGTGGGGAAGGTTCTGGTGTACTTGGGGGATTGAGAAGCCTGGATCCTGCTCTTGGCCACGTCCACTGGGAGGTTCCCCAGGCTGGACAGAGCTCCAGCTGTGAACCCAAGACACAGTCTCAGTGGAATTGAGTCTTGTTTCTGTGGATGAAGAGTGGCTGATGCTCTGAGACATGCTAGCCATTACAGGATCCTCCGGGATCCTGCCTTGCGTTACATTTGGCATCAACAAAATGCTATGAACTATAATATCCCAGGTACAATATGCGTGCATTTTTATGGGGGCAGCATAAAGGTAGTCCTCCTATACACTTATGCTATACTAGGAATGCGCACACGCATCATTTGCCTCGCGCCTGCCAGCCAATGCGTAAACTCCTACGAATGACGGAAGTTGACATTCCGAAGTGTGACTAATTGACATTGCTAAGTGTGACTAATTGACATTCTTAAGCGTGACATTCCCTAAGTGTGACTAATTGACATTCTTAAGCGTGACGGACACGTACGTACGTACGCATATCGCGAGAATACAACCCGGAGTAGTTGCCTCACGCTAACGCGCTCGGCAAATATAGCTAGGATGTTAACACCGATCAGTGAGGCTGATATTTCACTCGCTTATGTGCATGTCGCTGTGTGTGTGTGTGCGTGTGTGTGTGTGTGTGTACACCAGTCTGTCTGTCTGGTCCCATGTGTTTCTCTGAAACCGCGGCAGTTCCGAAGAAGAAGCGTGGACATCATGGTAGGCATAAGCTATGCTAGGTGAATGAGCTGAGATAGCTGTGGTGGAAAACCCTGTTTTCACATAGAATATACCTTATGGGTCAGCAAATTTGTCGATCTGCTAAAAGCTGCGCACCCACACCACATAATGTAAGTATATACCTGTACAGTAACTATACCTCTGGTGGTATGAGGAAGTATTTCATGTTGTAATAGGAGCCAAAGTAGACAGCGTTGAACATAGCATTCCTCAAGACTGTTGCATGAAAACCTTTAGTCAGTCCCCTGGTGCCCCACCCATCTCGTTTGATTATTTCCCTCGCCACCAGCCAAGTGTTCGGCATCTGTCAGTGCAGTGGAGCCTTAAGTTAGTACAAACGCTGGAACAAGCGTTTTGGGAATTTTTACAGCACTTAGCTATAGTGTTTCACCATTATGGCACAATGGTACGGTCCACAATTTGAAGAGTGGTAAAGTGGACCATAGAATTTAGGGTAAACAAGGATGTCCCTCATTATACACAGAGATAGATAGTTACATTTTTCACACCCTGTCCCCGTATATAGCCACATTGTATTCACCTATGTAGCTACCTCTTTGCAACCGCTGTCACACTGGCAGTTAGCAGCACAAGTCTTAGTTTAGTTACCTTGGCATTGCAATAATGATTTACAATTTACAATCTACCTTCAAGAATCATGGGGAAGCTACATGTTTACAGTATTTACCCCTGCGCACATGCACACGCAAGGGGTTGTGTTTTCAGTGGTCTGTATGTCTGTTATTGTCGTCCGCACTATAGAAAGTGGCCACATCTCTTGATATAGGTGCATAAACAAGTTTGAAAGGCGGTTAAACTATCACCAACGGCGTCACTGTGCTTAGAATCAAGGACACTGGCCACAACGACTAGAAATCCAGCTACAAGTCATTTGGCACGCACATCAATCAACGTGTGCACATGGGCTCAAAGAATACACACAATACCGTGAGGAGTATATAGCTACGTACCTTCAGAGGACTCACTCAAAGCAAAGTGTGGCAGCTAAAACCGACTTAAGCACAACAAACATGACATTAAAGCTCGCAATATATACAAATTTCAAACATGCCCGGCCCTAAAGGATGATCACGTACTTCCGACATTCGTTGTCTCTGGACCTGAATGTACACTTTAACCCTCTCGAAAGGTGCTATGATTGCTCCTTCTACCGTCCCACTTGCCAGTCCTGCAGTCACCAACGACTGCATGTAAACCAGACACGAGTGAGCAAGTCTCAGTAGCTATAATATATTATCTATCGTTACCCCAGGGTCCTGTGAAATTGACTGACGCACAAGCGCTCTTGGAGGACTCAAACACCAAAAAACTGAGAAGAAATATATTTCTCAAGAGTGGTAAGCATAGCTATGTAGCTACAGAGTTTACTTTTGCAGCTCTCTTCGGAGTGTCAGCCACTACTGGTGGTAGAATCCCCTTATACAGAGAGAAGAATCTGTAATTACGGATACAGTGCGTATAAGATAGCGTACCATTAATTTTGTACACACATGAAGCTAGGTGCAACAGCTTAATATACCCTTCATTTCTGATCATTCTAGTGATGCAGTCAAGGATGGAGGTGTAGCGAGACGGATCACTTGTAACTCCCTGGATCTGAAACCTGGCATCACACACACATGATTTCAAGTCCCTCAGCAAGTACTAAGGAACTAACCTGGTCTTTACCACGTCAATTGGCTGCATGCAGCACACCTCCACAAACCTGGGACAACACATCATAGATCATAGCAGATTGGCTACGGATAGAGATACCAGCGCTTCCTCCCGCGATGATGTGCCGTGCCGACCTCCGCAATGGCTCGGCTCGCTTGACGAAGTCATACTGAGTTTATGCTACACGGACAATCGTCGAGCGAGACCCCCCGAGCCATACCGGACGGACACTGAGGCGGCCCCGCATACGTGTAGGAAACCTGAAAGGAAACCTTGGCTAGCAGTGCAAAGTTCAAACTCACACTCCGCCACCAAAGAGACCACGCCTTCGTAGTTGGGATTCCATTTTTTGTCACAGGGCACGCCAGCGCTGGCGACGAAAGTCCTGTTTCATCTGTCTAACTAGAACTAGGGTAGAGAGATATATACGAACGCTCAGCATGCGTAATGGTACAGCGCGTGACAACTGCGCATTAGCTAGACGACGTAAAGATACCAAAGACAAAATTACGCTAGCTAGCTACATGAAGTGACAGTATCTAGTATCCTCTGTCTGACACAGTGGTTCTCTCCAGCAATAATGGCAGGAGATGACACACTGCATTCTCTGCATCAACAATCTGCATGAAAAGAGAATAAGTATGCAAAAAGCTGTCGTAGTTGACTGTTTGTTGGCTTTGCCTCGTAGTTGACACATGTATATATGAACAACAGGATCATTTGAAAAAGAGTGCTACACCACATTTGTTTCACACAACCCGTCCAAGATATTCTGCTTATCAAACCCTGCCTCCCTTTGCTATACACAAACCCACAATAAGCCTGGAGGATTCGTCAAGCTCTGCTGCAGAAAAGTTCAAACCCTCAGCGAACTGGGCATGCGCTGTACCTCTAATTGATGGGCTGTCTGCGTTTACCCGTGATCTCCCACTAGTAGCTCGCGGAGAGTCTGACACGGGCTAGCTACAGTAGTAGATAGATAGCATGCGGGAGTCGATACACGCCTTCATTGTGACTTCAATGCTAACCTGTGGGGCAAGCAATGCTGCTAGAGCCTCTCGCTCAGAAGTATACTTCAAGTGCATCAGTATGATACCTGGAATACAGTGATAGACCGTGGCATATTCAGCTCTACCAGCCAGATAGAGAATGAAAAATCTCACCCAGCTGTTGGCATGTGAAAACATGTCGTGACGCCACAGATGCAAACAGGATCTCTTGAGGATAAAACAAGAAAAATTGCATGCAAAATACATAGCTCCATAAAGGGCGTGAAGGCCAAATTTAGGAGTCTGCCTGGGAACAGTTCACAATGTGTATAACGAAGTAGTAGCCAAAGAAAACAGGCAAAAGAGCTCACCCTCCCTCTCCGATGGACTGGTGGCGAGCTTCAAACGAGAGATGAGTTGTCCAAAGAGTAACCCCATCGAATTGCAGGTTCGAATAGGGTTAATACGCAGTGCGCATGCGTAAGCTCGACCATCGGACACACGCAAGATTTACGGACGTATACGAAGAGGCGCACATAAAGCTGCAGCAGTCGACGCCGAGATTATCAGAGCGTCGGTAGACGCTCTATCATCATATTCTTCATCTTCTTCTTCTCTTCTTCTTCTTCTTCAGACCCGCTGGCTCCTTACCGGAAGCAGTTGAAGCGTTGATTTTTTCACAGAACGTCTCCAAATTTACCGGAAATGTGCACGCATATCAAGCGATCGCTTGTTTCTTGCCGAAAGTCACTACGGTACTGTAGATCGTTGAGCTCTTCAACGGTAGTCACTGGACAACGCCATTTGCTGCTAACTCAGCATCAGTGAGCCGCATGCGCGCGCCGAGGAGGGCGTTTCCGGATCCCGCGCATTATAGTCTCGCTCGTGCGTGAACCAGGTATACGAGACTAAGCCAGGATGCCTGCAGAGGAACTCTTATCCTCCAGTGCCTTCTGTAAGTCAGTATACACATTTTTAACTGGCTAGCTTGCGTTTTGCTGTTGATTTATACGAGGAGCAACTTTGGCAGTGTGCGCCGTGTTACGCGGGCCTTGTAGCGCCTTCATTGTTTGTCCCCCAGGTTATAGCTATCATTGTAGTCTGATTATTGAAGCCTGCCTATGAAACCACCCCACCATATATATGTGCCACAACCTAATTGCATCGTTGTTGGAGGCACTACGCATACACCCTGCTTCAGGTAGGAGCAGCCCATTAGCTTCTGCTTTCAACAGTTATCTCTGCAACACCCATGAACATCAGAGTGATTGAAAATGCAGTGTTGTCAAAGGCATGAAAAATAGTGGAAACAAGTGGAAAAATCAAAATGAAAGGGGGATATAGGGATGGCTTGAAGCACCAAAAAGGAAGGAACAATGGGTCATTACACAGCAAAGATGCACAAAGCTACATGACACCATCCCTATATCTTTGTGTTATATGTAGTTCGCGAGTAAAGTTTAATATGAGACAAAGATATAGGGATGGTGTCATGTAGCTTTGTGCATCTTTGCTGTGTAATGACCCCTTGTTTCTTCCTTATTGGTGCTTCAAGCCATCCCTATATCCCCCCTTCATTTTGAAGAAAAGATTTTTCCACTTGTGGAATTACAAGCCGCACGTCTAGAAATCCCGGGGTTTTGGCTTATTAAGGCGAGGCAACAAATTTCTTCTTTGTTAGCAAGTTAACAATTGGGTGAGATATTATCCTGGAGCCCACAGTGATTCTCTGTTACAGGTGTAGCTAGATTGTTGGATGGGAGAGAAAGTTGATTTTTTTTACTTACGGCTAATCAGACACGATCTCACTAAAGAGGTAGCTAGCACCCATTTTTCGTTTCACTATAAAGAGCGAACCCTCGTCGCACTGCGCATGCGCGGTAAGTACCGATGGGCTACGACAGTATTATGCTGTTACTCGTTATCTCCCGCTAGCTGACACGGGCTAGCTACACTAGTAGATTGCATTCGGGAATCTATGGAATCGACGTCTCCCAGCAGTATCTCCAAGGTACGCAGAGCAAGCGCCATCAGTTCCAGTAGGTTTACCCTCGGCGCGCATGCGCAGCGAGGGTTACGTTAGTTGTCCCGTAAGTGTGTCTGTCAGTTGTCTGTCTGTCTGTCCGTCTGTCTGTTACCACGTTTTTTGCCACCGCGCGCACGAAAAATCAGGTAAATAGCGATATGATCGGGTTCAGTGCTACACTGCTCAACGCCCATGTGTGTATACACTAAAACGCACGCGACTCCGAGGCGGCAGGCGGCGCACGCTGATTGGGACCACGTGGCCAACAGTCATTTTGTTTTCCCTCATTTCTCTGTGAGACTAGACTGAGAAGACGGTTGAGTTCAGTAGGTATGCATTGTAGCTCACTAGGTTAGACTTGGGAGGAAAGAATAATCTTATCTATGAACCTAATACAGCACCAGTAGTATATACACAATTCTACCAGATCTGGTGATACCATTGCCCCACCCATTACTTTATTGCCGAGCGCATTAGCGCGAGGCAACTACTCCGGGTTGTATTCTCGCACGTACGTAATTAGTCACGCTTAGGAATGTCAATTAGTCACCAAAAGGAAGTGTAACTTCCGTAATTCTTAGAAAGTCTATATAGCTTCCGCCGTGCGCGCAGATTCGTAGGAAGTCCGGCTTCGTGCGCAGTCAGTATAGCGCGCGCACGAGCGGCCTCAGTCGGACTGTTTACGCATTGGCTGGCAGCTGGCAGGCGCGAGGCAAAATAGTATGCGTGTGCGCATTCCTAGTATAATTGTGCGTGTGTGTTCACTATTATCACTGCGCCGAGGGTTTGCACTTCAGTGCCTTTCATTGTTTATTGGAGTAATAGCTATAATATAAATATGCCAGTAGCTATAGTGGTGTATATACTGAGTGCAAACCCTCGGCGAACTGGCGCACACGCGGTATATACCGCAAATATATATACGGACTGGTCTAATAGCGATCGCTAGTAGCTCGCGGAGAGTCAGACACGGGGCTAGCTACAGTAGTAGTAGAGTGAGTCGATACACGCCCTTCATTGTGTCTTCGAGCAAGCGGACCCGGTCGAGCCGGAATCCTGTGCTGCTGGCTTGTTCACTTGGTTTTCACGCTAAAACCTTTAGAACGCAGTATTTTTACGAAAATCGCCACACACACACACACACACACGACTCCCTCGCTGTGCATGCGCACCGACGGTTAATGAGCGAATACCGGTGACACAGTATTTTATCCCCCGAATTTTTTTATCCGGGGGGACAGTACTATCCGTGAGGATAGTATACTCTTAGTGTGGAATATCCGGGTGTGGAATATCCGGGTCCGGATATTTTATCTAGCTACACATACCCCCAAAAGACAAGGATGCGCTCCTACGCGATTTCACAATCCCTGTGTCATCATCATATTCTTCATCTTCTTCTTCTTAAGCCAGACAACCATCATCTTCAGCACATCAGATATCAACAGCCGGGGCCAATAACACCATCTCACATGGAGGTGGAAGAGAGTCACTTAGGAGCTGATAATTCTTACATTCTATATACCGCGATGGCTGCTGCTTTACTCAGACATTGTCTAACATTAAATAGTGATTCAAACCCATTTTATTCTAACATCCTCTCATTTCACCCCTCCTCTCTCTTCACCCTTATCCTCAGCTCTGATCCTCGGCCCTCCTCTTCCTCTCTCTTGTTGTACGGGTCTCCTTCCTGTCCAAGCATTCTATATATACAGCACAGGGAAACAGATCCCACAAGCACTATGTACATGTAGGCACGTGGTTCAACGTGGTTCCCATGGCATAGGGGTGTATATGATTATAAAGTGCAAACCCTCGGGGAACTGCGCAAGCGCGGTGCCGCTAATTGATGGGCTAATTGATAGGCTGGGTTAGTATACCGTTTACTCGCGGTCTCCCGGTCGCGGAGAGTCTGACACGAGCTAGCTACAGTCTTCCCAGGTATATAATACACTATTGATAACTGACTAGTGTAGGAAACGTCCCATTCGTAGTGGTACCACAAAAGCGCGCACGCAAAAACAAAAGCAGCTTCCGAACTCCTGTGTCCTCAAAGAGAAGCCATTCAATACCAGGTAGCTACTGGGGCAGTTAAAAGAAGACAATTTTTCAAGACAGTTATTCGTTGCGATTGTCAGTGCTCAGATGGATGGTAATGAGGAGTTAATGAATCACAATAATCACTGGAACTTCAGGTAGGCTTATAATAATATACACTGCACTTTTGAAGCTCTTAAATTAGTTGCCTGAGAAATGAGTGGCACATTGCTAGATGACACAAGTACTAATCTCTTCTAAGTTACCACTTCTTTTATTATGATTCTCTCAAACTTTATGGTTGTAGATTAGTTTTGTACAAGGACTGCTTTAAATGCTCTTAAAACAAGAGCTGTCCTGGATGTAGTTGATTTGTTCGTTGTGCCTTTGCCTTTCTACGTTTTTTACATGCAGTGTATCCCCCTTCAAATTACCATTGCTGGCAGCTATTATAATAATACCAACATTTCTAGCAGTTTCTAGGAAATTAACAAGGAAGTCCCATATACTCTAGCTATAATAAAGGAATGTAGTACACAATATAATGCATTTCTTGGCAGCTGCACATGGTCCCTCGAGACTGCCCTTGGCTCATGTTTCTGTGCCTGCCATGTTTTCTTCTTTGGGTTGTTAATGCAACAGCCAGGGAAATTAAAACTAGTTGGTCAACCTTTTACTACTTAGAAACAACAAACTATAATGTTCAATTTTACTGCAATAATAAGAGTATGTTTTTGTGGCATGTCAAGAAACCACCTAGTTCTTAATAGCCCCGAAGAACCACATGGGAAGTGATAACCGCCAAAATAAGCGACTGGATAGGAAGAGGATATTTTCATCAAGACGTGGTGGTGTTGTGACGTGAGAGGTGGTACTTTGACGGAGGGGTGGTGCGCATTTCGTGAGGGGTGTGGTGTTTTTTTTACGGAGAGTGACGTGGTAAGGTAGTTTGCGTTTTTCAAGGTGGTGTGCGAGGTACTTTTTGCTGAGAGGTAGTGCGAGGACCTACGTGCATGTGTATACACACGCAGTGTGCCGAACACTGTGCATGAAGCAAACAACATGAGGCAGCTATCTACCTGCGGCACGCAGCGACGCTGTGTAGCTCGCCTTGTGAAGCATTGGCCATGCCTGGACCTGCTCAAAGTGCTCAAAGTATTAGTAGGAGCAGCTGGACGACGTCGCTGTATGACAGGTATTTGCTTATCTGTTTGCACATGCGCAGTGCACGTAGGTACCCGCACTACCTCTCCACAAAAAGCACCACCTTCAGAAAGCTCACTACCTCTCAAACCAAATCACTGTGTACATAATAATTATGACTGCATATGGGACACCCACACGGCACTCTTTTATGTTGTGAATCTGTAGAACAGATGTCCCTGTGTAAGCTTTACAAGCTCCATTAGACACCACTATAAGCTGACCTTCCATGCTCCTTTGTGAATTAATTCCATAATTTCCTACAATAACATGTGGCTAACATTATTAGTAAGCCTTCAGATGTGCAATCTCCGTCCTATGCATTCAGGGCCCTATCAGGCTAATATGTCAGTGCAGCTGCAAGTGCATTCCTAATCCTTCAGCAATGGAGATGGGTATATCCTGTCTACAGTGCATGGTTTTATTAACCCTCGGCACGCATGCGCAGCGAGGGTTACGGTAGTTGTCCTGTAAGTGTGTCTGTCCGTCTGTCTGTTACCACGTTTTCTGCCACCGCGCGCACGAAATCAGGTAAATAGCGATATGATCGGGTTCAGTGCTACACTGGGTTGATTTTTTAAAAAGGCGATTTTCGTAAAACTACTGTATTTTTAAGTTATGGCGTGAAAACCAAGTGAACAAGCCAATATGTAAATTAGCACAGGCTTACCTCGACCGCGTCCGTTCGCTCTGTGTGTCTTGAAGGCACAACAAGTCACAACGAAGGGCATGTATCGACTCCCGCATGCTATTTACTATACTGTAGCTAGCCCGTGCCAGACTCTCCGCGAGCTACTAGCGGGATACCACGAGTAAAGGCATAAAAAGCCCAGCCCATCAATTAGTGGTACCGCACATGCGCAGTTCGCCGAGGGTTTGCACTTTAGTGCTTTTCATTGTTACACAAGAACTAACCTCTCAACCAATTCTTGTTCTCTCCTCACACGCTGTGGCCAATGCCCTCTGTAGCTATGAAAATGTATTTAATGTGTCTAAACTTGTCTTTTGAGTGACTATGAGACATGCTTTTGCAGCTACTCAACTACATTTTCGTTTAGCAAGCATATGTGTGTTTATATCCGTACAGTTTGGCAAACATGACAAACTACGGCATGAAAGCACAAAATAGCGTGTCTATCCAAACCACCAAATGGCACCAAGGTTTTCAAAGAAAGGAGATTAACTATTTTTGCTTTTTTTACTGCAGTATCATGTCAAGAAATTCACTCAGAGTTACTGTTACTAATGTCGATGTTCTTGTGCACTACTGCCATACCATTGGAGGACTTCTACCCATATGGTCCAGATGTTGGAGATTCTCAAGTAGACCTGCCAATTTATACATATGGGCTAATTTCTGTTGGAGATGTTAAAGTTTCGGTGAGCTGACTATTGAAGGGAGTTTACAGAATTAGAGAATGTTTACCTTGTGATCTTTTTGACATTATTAATTTACATGGTCGTTGATTGTTAATCTTGTCTGCTATACACAAAGTGAGAGTTGACCAATTAGTTGAGGTTTGCCTTGTGCCTTTCTCTTATGTTGTAGATTTAACCACCTAGCCCTATATCTGCTAAGCAGCACCAATCGCAATGGCTCAGTGTGTAAAGCACTACGTGTAGATTGCACAGTGTGGTGGGTTCAAATATCACACAGGGTTGCTATTTCTTCAAGAGTTGTCTTTGGTTTTTTCTTTTCCCATGTGACCACTTTTAACACCCTCTATAGTGCATCTTCTGCAGAGTACCATGCCCGTCCAACCTCTTAGTGATAATTATCCCTTTAGACGCCATAAGTATAATAGTTATCTCTTTGAACAAGCATAAAATTGTGTCCAGGTATTAGCGCCTAGTTTTTAAACCGCCATACTTATTGACATTATTATGGAGAATCTGGACATGTTTATACATGGCTGGTTAAGTGTTAACCTTTTAGGTGTGGTTGTACGGTGCTATAGACTATGGTGGACGTTCCATTGGAAATTTCATGGAGGTGTTTTTTATTGGATTTGATAATGTTGGAGGAGCTGTCTGGTTTCGGAACAGCACCTTTCAAAGCACAAATGAGAGAGCACTGACTGACATACAACGTGTGTATCCCTCTGTGTCATACATTGACCAGATTTTGATTGTCACATGGGATCGTCTTCACCTTTTGTCCCAAAACTATCAGGTAGCTAGCTAATAATGCATTAAACTCAGTCTTGTTGGACTAATTATTTATTGTTGTGCTAATTATTTATTTGACACAGACCAACACATTCCAGGCTGTAATAGCAACTTCTGGAAATGAAACTTACATAATGTATCTCTACGCTGATGGTCTCATGCAATGGATAAGTGAATATGGCGGTATTACTGATGATGGTATGTTTACTGCAAGAGTTGTTTATGGTCAATGGCTAATCTCCGCCACCTTCGAGCTTCCCGGTTCTGAAACCTGCAGCATTATTCATATTACTTCAAGATCTAATGTCGGTATTCCAGGAATGTTTGTGTTTGATCTGGACGGAACACACCCAGTTTTTGGTAAAAATTAGTGTCATTTTGTGTTAATCACGTTTAGTTTTTGTTCATAGTCTCAGAATGTGAAGAGGGAGATGTTCGTCTAGTTGACAGCAACATGAACACCAATGCCAGTGGTAGAGTGGAGATGTGTCTGGATAATGAGTGGAGGGTAGTGGGAGATGAGACCTGGGGAGTGGAGGAGGCTACTGTCGTCTGCAGACAGTTGGGACTACCAACTGATGGTTAAGTAGAGTAGCTATATAATGTGTATGAGGTACCTACAACCATTTACCTATAATGCTAGGCAGAGCTATTCGTATTTGGTGTTTGCTTACTATCACCCTACCAATCTTCCCATTTCCCAATGCTGCACGCATAAACTTTGTAATAATGTTCATTCTCAAACACTTTCTCTGTATATTCATTCTTTGCAAGTTGCGTTCTAGGCTAGAAAAATTAGGCAGGCTATGAACCTACAATGGCTGGTAATAGAAACAGGCTTCTTTGCACCCTACTTCTATCACTATTATCTTGCAATAAAAAAATCTGTGTCCGTAAGTGCCATTTCCCCCTGCTGACTGTTAAATATCAACAACATTACATAACCTTACCTTTATGTGTGTTTATGTAAACACCATGATTCATAGCACCTTACTACTACATTTCAATTCACAGTGGTAGTGGTAGGATGGAATCTAAAGAGTGCAGGTGTTCCAATAAGCTGCACTGGCAATGAGTCTTCACTGATGGATTGCAGTAGTGAGCCTGGTAAACGGGGTAATGTTGCAGACCCACTCAGATGCAGTGGAGGGGCCACAACATCCACCTGCTTGGCTACTGGTGATTTCACATTTCTTTGAGGCAGTAAAATTGGTCTAATTCTGTTTGTCTTAGACGGCTGTGAGGATTTCCTAGGACAAGACTCATCAACATTGCCTGCTGTTTGCTTTAACAGGTAATTGGCTGCCACTAAAGCTGGGAGTGAACTAACCTAGAGGTCCATAGTTACCGCTGCGCGAATGTTTTCATGCCATGCATGCAGTTTGATAATGAGCTTTGATATTCCCAATAATATTCTGCAGTTCTAACCTTGCTCTCACTGGATTTGCCTATATACATTGTACTTAATGTTTTTTTAACATATCAGATATGGAAGTTGTGTTCCATTCTCACCCTATCTGTTGGGAAGTGGTGGTATTCCTTGTGATAGTGTCTATGAGAGTGGAACTGACTATGTGTACCTCAAGAATAGTAGCGAGTCCTTCCAACCACTCAATGTACTTGGGGGGATTGAACAACAGCTAGATGATGTATTCTCCAATCACGACTGTACACTCTCAACTGTAAGAATGATATGTCACTACTACCTGCCTCCCTGTGGAAACTCTACTCATTTTGAGCCACCGACCTCAGTCTGCTCTGATGCCTGTTATCTACAAAGTCAGATTTGCCCCTCTTACTGGACATTTGTTGAATCAAGACTTGGGCAAATTGAGAGTAATCCTCTCAACTGCTCATTCTCTGAATCAATTTTGAATCCTATTCCTCATACATCTTGTTCTCATCTTGGAGTGTATGCAAGTAAGTTTAGTATACTATATTAAATGTACGCTTGCTTCATTCCATCTTATTGTAGTCAGATTGTGACAAAGTAAAGGCAGAAAACTGTAGAGTGGCTAACGATAATGTGCCAGTAAGTAGCTAAAAAGTCTTGGCCATCTTGAGAGCTTCAGTTATAAAATGCTTGCCTTCAATCTTTAAGGGTAAGGTGGACAAAACCGATAAGTAATAGAAGTGACACAAATTGCCCATATCTGAGTCAACATCCCAATTTTTATCAAAATGGGATTCCATCACTACATGCTAGAGCATGCATGTTTATTGATAATAAAATGAAAGATTTCACCTTTGATCAGATGTGACTATTGGTCTAAGTCAGACAGTGTACTCAGTGGTGGAAGAAGAGGGCGTGGCTGTTGTGTGTACATCTGTTCTCTCTGGAACTACTTCTGGGAGGACATTCAGTATCAGCTACCAAACTACTGATGGTGATGCTAGAGGTATTAGCTAATCGTAGTAATAATATATTTATTTCTTGTTCTGAACATACTGTTTCCCACTATCTAGCGCCTGCTGACTACATAGCAATCAATGGAAGCTTTGACATAACCGACTCTAATAGTGAACAGTGTGTCAACATCTCTGTTGTATCAGGCAAGACAATTGAAGATGAAGAGTGTTTCAATTACACTATTGTAACATCCTCTAATACTATCGGCCTTACACTCATCCCCAATACTGCTACTATCTGCATCAGTGAACCTCAAGAAGGTAAATACAACAAATTGGTCATAGACTGCTGCACGGCGAGTAGTGACACTACTTTCAGATACCACCTGCAATTAGTGCATACTTATGCAATGTAATGACGCTGTTATGGGCGTTAAAATGCTATTCATAACATAAGATTGATGTTGTATATTATAGCACATATAATCATGCAACTATAGCAACGTAATGGCTACAAATATCTTCCTTTGCTTTCACCCCTGCAGCAACTCCTTCAGAATCTACTACACAAACTGCTCTAGTTACTGTTCTGGCTGTGCTAGTGGCAGTAGTTCTACTTTGTATGGCTATAATGGCTGTTGTAGTTATTGCAATTTTTCTGAAAAGAACTAAGTTATCAAGGTGAGATTTATTTTTCATTTCATTCTTACTATTCATCCCTCATGCAGACGCAGGGATTTCACTTCACCATATGAGATTCATGACTCTCTTCCCAGTGAGTATACACGTGTACACATGTGTATAGAAACACATTAAAATGTGGAGTTTGAACATTAATTTATGATGGCATGAAGCACAAATAACGAAAGCAATACGTGTGGTTACAAAAAATAGCCTCACAAAACGACATGTCATTGTCTCTAATTATTATCTTTGTCTTGCCACGATCATAAAAGGGATGATTTTAAGAAGATTTGTGCACTTATGCTGTGTAACAACCCTTTGCCTTTTTTTGTGCTTCACACCGTCCCTATAATAACATCCATGCATGATAGGTAGTTTCCATTTTCATGCTACCCCGTAGTCAATTGTTAAACACACACACACATGTGCCTCCATCTTGCTAGGTAAAGATAGACAAACTGATATTTTGCATCACCTCCGAGAGCAACTGGAAAACAAGAAAATGATATACTCCAAGGATCAAATCCAGCTGTCTACTACAATAGGACAAGGTAACAATTCTGTATATTTGCACTTAATAAGGTTTTGAAGTTGTTTCAGGAGAGTTTGGGCTCGTGTACAAGGGATACATCAAAACTGCAGTTGGAAATGAAATAGTTGCAATAAAAACAGGAAAAGGTATGAACAATAATAGCCAATGACCAACATATGAGGGTTTTTTTCTGCAGCACTTTTTTCTTCTGGTGACTTGAAAACCCTTGCTAAGGAGGTGTCTACCATGTTGTCTTTCAGGCACATAAACATTATGTCTCTTATTGGAGTGTGTATTGATGGAGAGATGCCCCTGCTAATCATGCCATTTATGTCCAATGGAAGTGTGTTGGAGTATGTTAGGAAACACAAAGACAGACTCTTTATCACTGGCGAGCTCCTAAGAGTGGAGGTTAGACGTATTAACCACGTTGATAAACATGTCACTTTTGTCTACTACATTGCAGTTACAAACAGCATCTGCAGCACTTCTTCGGATATGTCTCCACATTGCACAAGGAATGGAGTATCTTTCTAGAAACAAGTTTGTTCATCGTGACTTGGCAGCAAGAAACTGCATGTACGATGTTTGTAATTATTGTTAGCTAGTAATGGACAGTTTAATGCACAGGATTGACGGGGAAGGAGTAATCAAAGTGGCTGATTTTGGACTCGCAGAGGACATGTATTGCACTAACTACTTCCGTCGAAGGAAGAGTGAGACTGGACACGAGGAGAAGGTCCCTATACGGTGGATGGCCCCCGAGAGTATTGAATACTCTGTCTATACACAGGCTACTGATGTAGTGAGTTATGAAACCTTGAGTGATGGCGTTCAAGGTGTGCATGCCCAATATTGCTTTTAGACAAGACAATTTTTGTATGCGGTAATTTGCATACATTCGTTTGAAAAAATCATGCGGTGCTTCTAGTCGTAATGTCCCATTAATGACAGACTGGTGGTATGAATCTTACCAATTTAAACATGTCAATTGCTTATATAAGTGTGCAATTGAAAAATGGTTGCAAACGTTATACACTGACAGTTTACTTCATTATAAGTTCTTGTTCATTGACACCTGTCTTTATTCAGTGGTCATACGGAGTGACAATGTGGGAGATTTTCACTTGTGGGAGGGTCCCATACGCTGGAATACACGCCATGGGTCTCTTGAAGGGGCTAAAGAGAGGAGAGAGACTGGAGAAACCGGACAACAAGGCCTGTCATGATGACATGTTAGTTTTGGATGATACAGCAGTCCTCGTTACTGTACATTGCTAATAGTAACATTTTGCTCTTCTGGCATCATCTATCCACTGAATTATCCTTACCTCAGATATGATGTGATGTTCTCATGCTGGGAACTGGAAGCTGGTGAACGTCAAAAGTTCTCTGATTTGGTAGTCACAGTGAATGACCTCCTGGAAAGAGATGCTGGCTACCTGGAGCTCTCTCAGTTCCCAACTCTTACAGTGGCTACTACAACCTCCCCACCTCCATCTCCTGCTGATCATTCTCAGATTGAGCTGGCAGAGTTTGCAGTTTCTGAGCCAGATATTGATGAGAAAGAAAGTGACCTACGAGTGTAGCTAAATGTATTCTTAAACTGACTGTCTGTTAGATAAAAGAGACTCAGTTGATTGTATTTTTGTACTATTTATCCCGTGTACATTTGCACAGTAGTGTTGGCGTCCATTTTAAAAAGGCGATTTTCGTAAACCTACTGTGTTTGAAAGTTATGGCGTGAAAACCATGTGAAGAAGCCAATATGTAAATTAGCACAGGCTTACCTCGTCCGTTCGCTCTGTGTGTCTTGAAGGCACAACAAGTCACAACGAAGGGCATGTATTGACTCCCGCATGCTATTTACTACTGTAGCTAGCCCGTGCCAGACTCTCCGCGAGCTACTAGCGGGAAGGCATAAAAAGCCCAGCCCATAGTTGCCAACCGGAATGGCCGGGACAGTCCTGGAAGTTTGGGCTTTGTCCCGGTCGACGCAAAATAGCAATAATGTCCCGGAATTTATAAGCTATCCAGCGTAAAGGTGACCATTTCATAGTTCAACGCGAGTAGTGTGGCCAAACTGAACGTGAATAGACAACAGTCAGATAACTCTTACCACTGAGCTACTGGATCTCTGATGGCAGAGCACATGTTGTGTAGGGTTGAGTGTCCTTTGAGGATAGAAAGAAAGAGAGAAAGCAACCCAAAACAACAGTAGGACACTGGATGCCATCACATTACATAACCCACGCTGGGATCACGTGACCAGGCTGATGTTGGCCAGGCTCCCGCCAAAGTGAAACTAGGGGTAAGTACGATAAGTGCTGTGGATACCAATACTGTCCATGCTGGCGACCATCGTTAATTGAGCCTTAAACGTGAAGTCTGCGCATAAAAGGGGGTGACTGGTATGGCAATTCTCATTATTTTACACATCACACACACACACACACAAAACTAGTTCAATTGTTCCACTATTTCTTCTAGGTACAACCCCAAATTTTGCAGGTGAAAGTCTTTGTTTCTTATAACAACACGACAGTTGTCAGCATCCATTATCATTTCAATTGTGATGATACCCATGCTTCTCACAATCAGCATTCCGTGAGCTTTCCATTCAATGGATGATGGCATGTCATTAAATTTCGAGTTGAGATGGTATAAGCTTGCGAAATAATATGTATTGGCAACAAGTTCACCCAATTTTTTGGGTAGGGTGGCACGGGCCCCGGAAGTGCACCTCACCTCCACACAATTGTTGATTCCCACTTCCACACTGTCTTGAAAAACGATGACGCTACTGTGTTTGTCACGACCGACACACCCTGTTTGCCAAACAAACAAAAATCCGTGAACCCTAGAAAGGGGGTAATGTGAAGGTGCGGTTCGGCCAAGTTGGGGAAAAATTGAGAGAAGATTAGCTTTGTAAGTGGACGGAGCCCACCTAAAAGCTTCACATATCATTATGTGTGGGAATGCTAAGGCTAGGCAACTACCTAGCCTTTCATTCCACGTATGTTCACTCCAACCCCACCCATACAACGGATCTTTCACCCACGCATACCGGCTGGGTGGAGCTGGATTTTCAATTGCCTGTTTCAGGGCATCGTCATGTGGCCACAGCTGCTACATGAATGGTTCCAGTTTCAGACTAGTGGCGCTGTTGATGGCTGTGGCGCTGTTGGTGGCTGTGGCACTGGTGGTGGCTGCAGCATTGGTGGCGACGACTTCCTCTTCAAAGTTCATAAATACCTCAAGTGTGTTTAGGTCCGCATCACTACATTTGATATGCTGCTTATAAACGAAGATATAGTCATCGGGTCGTCTTCCAACTCTCTTCACATTGGCCTCCTCAACACTTATGCCCAATATATCTGCTGTCAACTTTATTTCTTCGCGAAGTTCTTTGGAGAGGTCTACAGGAATAAAGGATACGTACTCCAAGTATATTTGGGGCACAGAATAGTAGCTACACGTTTTATAGTGGGATCTAAAACTGTACGGCATTATCATTCCACATGCTTAACATCTGCTTCTACAAAGAGTCCCACTTCATAATACTCCTCCCTTATTTTTATATTTCCACATGCTTATCCTACTGTACTGTCTGCTCCCCATAAGATCTCCACTTCCTGCCATTCCTCTTCTTGCATACAGAAAACATCTCATGGGAGCTGCAAAGTCAAATGCTAAACATTAAACCCTACATATTACCATTCTTAGTGAAACATACTTTTTTGAAATTGAACTCTCTCCAGTGATACAACAGGCTGCCTCGCCATCCTAAAGAGAGAAAGAGAGAGAGAAAGAACTATTGCATTTCAGGTTGAGTGTCCTTTGAGGATAGAAAGAAAGAGAGAGAAGTTTTTTTATATTGCCCGACAAAGAAGCACAAACAAAATGGCGGCTGATACAAACTACCGCTGCTCAGCGCTCACTGCCCTGGCTGGCTACAGCTTACCTTACAGAAAAACCCATGAATCTCTGAACTATAAGTATACACAGCGGTTCTTCCTTCCTGGAGCTCACACACTGTCAAGCCGAACTCGCACGGCTAGCGCTCGCCTCAATGTAATGAGTTGGGTTCCCACTTACATGTACAGGTAATGTATATACGATGGTAATCAGTGTTCAGAATTCAGTGTTCTCCACAGGCCGTTTTGGCTTAGTGCACCCATAAGCCTTCTTTGTTACAGCATGTGTTCAGAATGTGTGGGAATCGCTAGGTCACTCATTCTTCAGCTCATACAGGGGGCGGATTTACATCACAACTGTGTCAAAGCTTGCACAAGTTTGCATAAGGGGAATTTGCAAATAATGTAATTTCCACTGATTGCTCTTTTAGAAATGCGGCAGATCAATGCCATTACAGCATGTGGTTCAGAATGTGTGGGAATGGCTAGGTCACTCATTCTTCAGCTCATACAGGGGGCAGATTTACATCACAACTGTGTCATCACAACTGTGTCAAAGCACAAGTTTGCATAATTTAGTGCAAAACTAGTGTCTACTCTTAGATGACAGGAAAATTGTGACAAAAAGGGGAATTTGCAAAGGATGTAATTCCACTGATTGCTCTTTTAGAAATATCGAATCTAAGGCTACAGTAAAAATAACAGAGTATAGAGTGATGCAGTGAAATGGCACACTTACGGGATGTCTCTTTGGGGAGTGTTTCCTGCAAAGAGAGAGAGAGAGAGACAATAAAAGAGAGAGTTACACAGGTATGGTGTATATATTGCATAAGCCATAGCTGCATTATGGGATACTCTCTGATTGAAACACCATGTGCCCGGTAGCTATTGTAACTTCTAACAAAAATGTCACCACACTCCGGAAGGCCCAAGGGATAGGCTGAGTTTACTTTAGTAACTCACACGTCTTTTCTTCAGTGGAAATGTCGGCAGAGTGCCGCTGGGCCCAGGTCTTATACGTAGGCCAAAAAACTGGTTTTACAGGTAGGAAACTGGCATTACCAGTTATGCCATGTGCCGGATGTTTAGCGTACGTTGCCTTGCCGGCACACAGTGGCGCACACGTACGTGGTCACGTGGTCACGTGGGTACACGGTGGTTTCATCTTTGAGTGTGGGAGGGTTGATGACCTTCCTATCTCTCAGTTTAAACCGCACCTTTAGTCACAGTTTCTTGGTAAGCTAGCTAGCTTTGGCGCTCCGCGCGAGGCTCTACGTTGCCTGTCAACACGAGGGGCCGCGCAACGCGCATCAACACGTAGTACGTAGTACGCGCAGCAGCAGGCGCAAAATGGCTATTATACTCCGATTAGGTGTCCTGTTTGTCATGTCCCGGCTGACTCCTTTGGGTTGCGGGGGAAACTGCGACAGAATCCTCCGACATAACTCCCTTCGGGATGCAGTTTTTTCAGCAGCTCAGTCAGCTGCCTTGGCGCCTCGAAGGGAAGTCCCCTCTCTGGTCCCCGGCACCCGAAGCCGGCCCGCTGACATCTATCTCCCCTGCTGGAAAAGAGGCCGCCCTGCCGCCCTGGACATCACCGTCATCTCTACACTACAGCAATCAACCGTTCGGGGTGCTGCAGAAAATCAGGGCCATGCCCTTTTAGTTGCTGAGGAGAGAAAGTTTGCTTCTCACGGTGCAGCCTGCCAGGCCGTTGGCATCAGTTTCATCCCTCTCGCCATAGAGTCCCTAGGTGGCGTGAGTGATATGTCTGCTGACACCATCTCCAGCCTGGGCCGTCTTTTGGGTCAGCGTTTGGGGATCTCTCCGGTCGAATCTACTCATCATCTTTACCAAAGACTCGCAATATCTCTCTGGAGGGGAAATGCTTCTGCCTGGATTCACCGCAGTCCACAACTTTCCCCCTCCCTGGATGGTGTTATTTGACTCTGTGTTGTTTTGCGTTGTGTTTTGTTGTTCTTTTGTGTTTTTTTGGTTTTTTTTTGTTTCTTGTTGTTGATCTTGTAGTTTAGCTACATGTATATACGTTTTTTTCTTTCTTTTTTACTTACTGTATATAGTCGTTCTGTGTGTCTGTGTGTCTGTGTGTCTACGACTATTCTCGCACAAACTATTTCTAAAAAAAAATAAAATAAAAAAACTATTATACTCGCGCGCGCGTGATTTTACGTAAAAAAACGGGCGTGTCATTTATATAAGGGCGGGTTCTAGCGCTGTCCCGGATTGTCCTCTGCAAAAGTTGGCAACTATGTGTCTGACTATGCTACGAGGCGGCCTAAGAGCGATACCAACGCTTCAGTGCCACAAGCGCATGAAAAGTAAAATGGCGTTTTTCCTGAAACGACTGCGTTCGAGAGATATGAAGCGAAAAACCCAATATGCACTGGGCTTTCCGCGACCTGATCCGCTCTCTCTGTGTACCTTGGGGGCTCAGGAGGTCACAACGAATGGCATGTATCAACTCCCGCACGCTATTTACTACTGTAGCTAGCCCGTGTCACACTCTCCGCGAGGTATATACTAGCGGGAGACCACGAGTACCATTAGCAATACAGCGCATGCGCAGTTTGCCGAGGGTTTGCACTTTCTAACTTCATTGCTATGCACATGCTATCATAATGACACTGAATTTTAATGCACCAATAACTAATACCTACGGTATATAGAGTATAAACAGAGTCTTATCAGTTATTGGCTTAGTCAGTTTAGGTTAGGGGTAACAAAGGGATAGTCATAGCCGTCGCTGTCAGGACCAGAACCTTGTGAGACATGTGCACCATATGCAACATTTTCTGTCCCCCTTAGTGATAAGGTATTATTGTTGGGTGTCGGGGTATAGTTTTGGAGTCCTGCAATCGGTGGTAAAGGTAGTGGAACTCTACGAAGCTCATGGGTGGTTGCAGCCAATTGACTACTAGAGGATTGGTGGGCCACATTTGTAGCAGCTTTCTTCTTCCTCGTTGTACGACGTCGTTTCACGCAGAGAATCACAACAATGATGCCTAGAGTCAGCAACAGCCCCACTGTTGCACTCAGACCCACAACGATAGCCAACTCCTTAACAATCTCTTCAGTCAGCACTGGAGTTGGCTGTAATGACAAAATTATGAATAAAATATAATATGAAAAGTACTCAGGCATATCAGGGGGGTAGCTAAGGGGCAAACAAAGCATTTTGTCTCGGAGTTCCAGTTCAGTGCTTATAGTGAACTATATTTCCAGTCACGACCCCAGAGTTTGACTGCTGACAAAAGTTGGTTGTTTCTCCTTCCCTTTAGACAGTTATTTCTACTGCGCAGTGGTCGCTGCATTTCTGGCAACCTTGGCGCTGAGGTCAAGTGCCATCAGAGATTTCGACTCATAAAACCTCTATGTCAATAGAAGAGCCATAAGCTTGTTCATCACTACACAATAATAGGAGTAATCCACTAGCTCATGGCTCAGGCTGTCACCGGTCGATTCCCTATATGGTTTTACATTTCGGTGCAGCCTCATGGAACCACAAAATCTTGTGTCATACACCATGAATAGCTAGTAGAATATTCAACTGCCTCGTAAAATAGGCTCTAAAAGGCTGCATACACCCATAGTGAAAGATAAAAGCAACAAAACATACTTTATCATAATTAAGTTACTCTTACCTGCAGTACTGAACTAGTAGTACTTGGAGTAGTAAGACTTGAACTCATAACTGTATCAATTAAACACATGTCATGCTTAGCTCCTAAAAGGTATAAGTGGATGTAGAATTAGGAAACTCACCAATAACAGCGGATACTAAAGGACGTAAGGTTCCACCATAATATTATTACTTTGTGCATTAAAAATGTCCACAGAAGATTCTTCAGAGTCTCCAGAAGGTAAGTAGTAGTTGGTAGGACTACTTGTTGTCTCTGACAAGGGAATAAGTCTCGATTTGTTTGAAGTAAATATACCGAGTACATCTCCTGCCATTACGGGAATTGGTTGGAAGTCATTAAACACATAGACAGAGGTTGTTGTTCTAGTTGGTAACTCAGCAACAGTTCCATGTATCTTCTGGTACGTGTTATTCCCAACGTTCCCCAGATTGAGAACTCAGGAAGAGACTGTTATTTCTGTTCCAATATGCTCCTATGATCCAACTGGTAATGACACCGTCACATGTGAACCTCATGTCAGGAGTGATCTGCTGACGACCCTCTATAGGCTCCGTCCCAGCAACACTGTCAATGTCCAGTAGCAATCTCATCCTCTCCACACTTACAAAACCACGCGTACAATTTGGTGGATCTATGATTGTTAGAGACAGTTAAAATTTTCTCTACACACTATAAAGCATATACCATCAACTCTTACGAGTCAAATCAGGCTAATTAGATAATTATGCTCTTGTTTTATGTCACTGCCTTCTAAATTAATAATGTGCACAGAATTGGCTAATGAACGAAGTTCTCACCTGTTACTACATTATGAACATTGGTCGTACATAATAGAGCATCTGCCTGACGACAGTAGGTGAACTGATTGTTTGTAGTAGCTGCAGTTTCCAGTGAACATCATTCTCATAGTAAAGACTTAGCAGACTGCTTTCAGACGGTGGCTGGTAGTATCCTAGAACATCCCCTGCCTGGAAGTGAAGAGGAGGGAAGAGAGGATAGTGGTAGAGTTGTGTCTGATTTTCAGATGTCACGATTCTGGTGCTCCCAACTTTAGTGTAGACTCCATCTTCACTGACTGGTCTCCAGATCTGTACTCAGTGAATGAATGGATGTTTCCTTTCCACTTTGCTCCAAATACCCAGGCCACCAGCCTCCCACTGCGCATGAACTGTGCTTCAGGGAATAGTCCTTGGAAATTCTCGTCGATGTAGAAGGCGCTGTTGTTGTCAAGTACAACTTCCATTCTGTCGAGGCTGATGAAACCACTTGTACAGTCACCTGTCTTGGTCTCACCTGGTTACAACAATTACCATGTTGCACTATTCATAAGAGTAGCTAAGCATTATAGCGGATTAGTTAGTACCCAAGAAAAAAATAATTCCCAAAGAGAAATATTATTTTTCCGTCACAGAGAAATGTTATTCTGATCAGAAACAAACTAGTGCAAAATAGACTGGCATGAGAGATTTAATCACCAATTAAGGTAGAAAATGCTTGGGATTAGAACCTAATTAATGGTTAAGGTACTTTGCTCGTTTTTCACCGCTAATAGCCTCCTGTGATTTAGCCACCATGGTTGTTTCCAGTTTTGCGATATTTAAACTAATCCGAGCATATATACACTACACCATAAAGGCCTTTCTGTTACATTAACTATGATACTTACTTGATGCAGATAAACTGATGTGGAGACTGAGCAATACAGCAACTCCATTCAAAAGACTTTTCATTATGAAAGGTATAATAGCTCTCTCAGTTTTCTTGTGAAAGTTAAGCTAAGTAGCTAATCCACTCTATATTGTCTATTGAAGAAGCCAGACGATTCCCTTCTTGCATAAGAATTCATAATATAATGAGTAATACAACAGCATCTTAAAACAATTGTAAAGCAGTCACGGTAGGAAGTCTGTGCAGCTATTAGACCATCCCTATTCCATAGAGACAGGTTTAATAAGTCTGTCTGTAATCTCCACCCACTAAATGTAGTCACACTTAGTATGCCATATTCCCAAAATACTACCTCACGTGCCGCACCTTTTTGTTTGGTACTCCATACTATAGTATTAAATACCAGATCAATTTTGTATTGTTTACAGATCTCATATTACCTATACAGGGTATGTAATGGTTAACCCTCGGGTGCTGAGGATTCAGGGTAGATCCGCCACAGTACATAACATTGTTGTTTGCTTTTTTCGTCGTCCCCGTTGTCTGATACTGGTACCCTCCGGTGGATTGTATCCCCCAGAAAGTGGTCGGGTGTGGTCAGTGGTACGGGGTATACCCTCGTATGTGCACACTTGATTTCCATGGCTTCTGGGCTGAAATTTTTATACTCAAGGCTGCAGCCTACAACAGTTCAAGTATGTATAATATAGCTACTGCTATAATAGTACCCTCGTGTGTATAAGCTTTGGTCTATGACTTTGTTGGTTGTTTGGAAGCCCCCCACCCCCTCTCTCTTGTCAATGAAAATTAGTTTACATGTCAAACTCCCGCACAGAGAAACTCCTCAAAGGAAGTTGAAAGTGGGTAAGGGAACTATACCTATCCTTCTCAGCAAAGGGCTATGGAGGGCACTGGCAGTAGAGTAAACATATTAGT